TCTTCAAGAATACCGTAATGCCTTCTATACTGTAAGTAAAGTCGTGGGTGTGTGGTATAGGGCCCATGTGTAACGGGGATGTCTACGGGCTGTTTGAAGGCCTTACAATGTTCAGTTTCATCAACTTGTCAAATTCCTGTTTTGCAATCGCTAGGCTTCTTGGGTTTAATCTTCTTGGCCTTGCATTAACTGGTGGCCCGTTCGTTATGATATGATGCTGGATAGAATGCTTGAGATCCCTTATACTGCATGTTACTTTTAAAAGTTTGGGAAACTCCTTTATCAATAATTTACAGGGATCACCGCGGGTTTTATCTATCACTAGATTCATAGAAACGGATTCTGTAAACGTTCCTGTTATGGGAGTAGTGTAACTACCGTTATGAGTCTGTGGCGCCGTGAGTCTACTAGTACATCGAAGTTACATAAGAAATCGATGGCTATTATTGATACTGACACATCTGCCATGACAACGTCCCAGCGGCATGTAACGCCTCGTCCGAAAATTAGGGACAACTTTCGTTTGCCTCATATTTTGATATCCGATTTGTTCGCCGCTTTTAGCACTAATGACGTATTAAGATTTCTTTTATCTTCGCTTACTGAAGGTACCACACTAATTTCCGCTCCCGTGTTAACCAAGAATTGCGCGCCTGTCCTTCGGCCCTGTATATAAAACAGTCGGCTATTCGCAGGCGTTATGTTCACTAATGACGTCGCCATGGACAGTCGTGGGTATCGCTAATCAACTACGCTAAATCTACAAGGTTTTAAACATTTTCTTGCTCTATAACCGTACATTTGATGATATCAACATATCAAAGGAGCTGCGCATCTTCTGGAAGCTGATCGTCTTCCGCCGCGCTAGCCGTCTCGTTACGATCTTCGTAGCCTCTTACACTGTATCAACTCTGTAAGCTTTCTGCACGAAACATTTGCCTCTTTTTGTAGAGCACTGATTCTATCATCTACTGTCACGCTATGTGCGATTGAGGGCTTGCTTGCTTTTCTCTTTCGTATATTCTATCAGCTATTTCTGCTATGTTGTCTATGTTGGCGTCAGTATCTCTAACGGCTGTTGTACACTGAACGGGAGTCGGAGAAGCCGCAATCGATAAAAGAAGCTATTGTCTATATTTTTATCGCCCAGAAGAGTTTTCATATAAGTTTTTAGCTGTGATGGAGTCCTATCCCCCATTTGTACTTGGTTGAGCTGATTAACAGCTTGTTGGTCACCTAGAGAGAAAGCTTTAATAGCTGCTTATTTCAATACATCGTATGACCTTTCAGTGTCCGGTTTAGATAACGCCTCTCGTACTCTATCTGCTGTTTCATCTGGGAAAAGTGTGCTTGTGAGGCCAAATTTATCCCTTTGCAAGTTAATGCGATTAGCCAAAAATTATTTTCGAGTCTAATAAACCACAGCTGCTGGTCAGTGATCTTAAAAGAAGGGACAGGAAGATTAAGAGTTCTTACGGACGGGGTTTGCTGTACACTTGACATGGTATTTTTGGTAGACATGTTCAGAAAAAGAATTTTAAATAGTACACAAAAATGATGTAAATGTCAGCAAGAAAAAAAATGGACAGACAAAAACAATTATCATAACAAATGGTACAATTTAAAACATAGAACAGACTTACTAAATTGCACCAATATTGTTGCATCGATTGAGTGCGTATGTGCCCTGTTAATATATGAACGTGATAAGACCGCCAATTGGAGAGCAGAAAAATTAGTGATCGCCTGATGATACAAAAATCCGTATGAACAGTCTTGAGTACTTATCATCCCTGCTTTCTGCTCTGCCCAGCCCAGTCAGTTAAGTCCAGAACACCAATAACAGCCTCTGCAATATCAATCATTATTGGCAAATATGCTGGGTTTATATACCAATCAAACAGGCAACATCGTATCATAAAATAGAAAATAACATTCTTACAAGATTTAGCCAGATGTGGTTGTGAATAGGGGGAATAGTAATTAATAGTCGGGTATAACTCAGGAGTAGTAATTCGTACAATAATAGTCTATGAGTCAAAATAAAGCTTATAATGAGAGGGACACGAAAATGAATAGTTTAGTTACTTAACAATTATACAATAGGAAACAAACATATCATATTGGTCCATTAATAGTCCTCAGAGTTACCATTCATAATTCTACACGGGATATAACACGGACAGTGTTGCTGAACCGAGTAAAAACTCAGTAGACGCCTAACTTTCAGTTCAGCAAGCCGGAGTCCGTAAGAATCGGTCATGCACAGACCGAATCGCGACATTTTAAAGCATCATTGAACAATCAATTGTATGGAATTCGTCACTTTAAACGAAGTCCCTCAACTATGAGAAAGCGTTTGACAGTGGACAGGAGAACATTGTGGAAACTTCTTCGACACTATAGAGTTCCTGGAAAGATTGTCAACATTATTCAAAACTCATACGACGGACAACAGTGGAAAGTGGCTCCTAGAGAACAACTGGCAGACGCATCCGAAGTGAGGACCAGAGTCAGAGAACACTACTTACCCTCATCTTTTCTCTTTCTTCTGGTGGTTGACTGGATTACTAAGATCCACACAAATGGGAGAAGCAAGTAATGCAATGGACAGCTCGGAATCAACTAGACGATCTGGGCTTCGTAGTTGACTTACTTCTTCTATCCCATACACATGAACAAATGCAGTTCAAGACAACCTATGTAGCATCAGCCTTTACATCTGTAGGCCTTAACGTACACAAGGGAAAAAAGCAAGATCCCGAAATACAACACGGTGAACGCCAACCCAATCACACTTGATGGTGAAACTCTGGAGGGTGTGGAAACATTCACGAACCTGGGAAACGTAACTGATGAATGAGAAGGATCTGATGAGGATGTAGAGGCATGGATTAGCAAGGCAAGGACTGCATTCCCACAATTGAAGGACATACGGAACTCAAAATAACTCAACCAATATCAAAAACAGAATCTTCAATACGAATATCAAGACAGTCCTACTGTATGGAGCTGAAACGTGGAGAACTACTTCAACCATCTTCAAGAAGGTACAAGTTTTTATAAATAGTTGTCTTCGCAAAATACTCAACATTCACTGGCCGTATACTATCAGCAACAGCCTTCTATGGGAGAGAACAAACTAGCTTTCAGCTGAAGAGGAAATTAGGAAAAGACGCTGGAAGTGGATAGGACATACATTATGAAAATCATCAAACTGCATCACAAAACAAGCTCTAATTTGGAGTCCTGAAGGGAAACGGAAAAGAGGAAGACCCAAGAACACACTACATGGGAAATCGGAAGCGGATATGAAAAGTATGAATTGCATCTGGAAATAATCTCCTAGGACAGGGTTTGGTGGATGACCTATGCTCCTCGACGAGGTATAACAGTTGTATGTAAGCAAGTAAGTGTCACGTCAATCTTTAAAGTTATAGGAAAGTCACAGTGAATTCAGTAAACGATTCTTAGATGCCACAGATAATCTGGGATTGACAGCGTTGTTTTCCATATCTCTTTCACAATTGAGGATGGAAATGCTAGTCAAAATAAAAGTTAGAAATAGAGTTAATGATATATACGTCTCTCATAGTAGTTGCACAGTAATTTTACAGGCACAGTCAAAAATTTACAGCATGAGTTTACAGATAGGATTCGCTCAGGTAGCTTTATTCAATAAATAAAGCAACTGCGAATAAATGGCGGAACGTCCACAAGAATATACAAGGAAGCTATATATTTATAAAACAGCCGGTGTATCGAGAAGTTTATGATCCAAACAGTAGTTTTTGTGAGAGATGCGTAGCACGGATTACCTGATTTTGATCCGTATTTATTATTTTATTCTTACCACGTGTTTTTGTGTCTGGATCAATAAGGCACTTTTAAATTATTTCTACTTTTCCTACGCTTGCTTATCGTTCCTCCATACAATCAGATATAGACACGTCCGACCCGAGAAATGTCCTTACTATGAGTTGTAGCGGTAAATAAATCCCCAAAATCAATAGCTCTGCAAGTTTTCGACATTGGACGCTGACCACATTAGTTTTAATGGACTCACCTCCTCGATTCTGACTTCTGATTTTACTAGGTGGGTACGATTCATAGTAGGTATTACTGGTTAAAACGTTGTCAAACTCCAAATACCTGGGGCATCTTCAGAGTAAAGAAATATACAGATTACGTCGTTTATGAACCACTGGGACTCTAGAAATCAGTTAGAGATGGTTAATCTCAGACAAACACGGAATGTTAGTTTAACAGTGAACAAAAGGTGGTAGGAAATATAATTTCCACAAAAAGAGAAAAGTTGACACTTCCCAATCTATTTTTCGATCATTTCTTTCCAAATACAGTCCATATTACTTGATTTTTCATGTTAGCATTTTACGGGTGTGTTGAAGACAGATCCTGATTAAACCAAAAGTAAAGGGGCGTGTTTAAGTATAAATCTATATTTCCTGAAAGAACAAAACATAATGATGATACGAAGATCCCGGATACAGCAGTCAAGCTTTGAAAAGTTATCAGTCGTTGTGAGCGACGATTCTAATTCTTTAACTGGCTATCAGTTAATTGTAAATATGTTCCACGATAACAACGGTGCTATATAAAACTTTATTGTCATAAACACCAGTTTATTTATATGCTTTCGCCCCTTACTGATTTAATCCGGTTTGAAAGCGTCAATGGAGTCTGAGAGCCTTATTGTTTTTTACAGGCAAAACAGTCCACTTTTCAGTAGGTCGCAGACTTGTAACATACCTCGTAGATTTATCTACAACCTGTCCTTACCTTAGGACTTAAATTTATCCTATCATCGGAATTTATTCCGTTATTTTCAAGTCAAAACTAAAAAATATGATATTATAAGGTCAGAAACTTTCATGATGTACAACGTTATTAAATTTAATGCCCAAGGTGTACAAAATAACTTTTGTATACAATGTATTTGTAGTATAATAAATATATTGAAACTCTGAATTTTACAATTCGAATTACATGTGTTTGTTCTTCTGTTCCTATAAACGATCTGAATTCAGGGCGGTTAATCGTAATGCCAGACAAACGTGGTTTGGCTGTCCAGAATGTAGAAGAACTGGTTAGTCAAATATCTCAATAGTTGATGGGAAAATTTCTAGGATGTTTCAAAACTAACTGCTCTATCTCCCGAGGTCATCAGTCGCCAGGCTACCATCAACATCGGTACTATAGGCCATGTCGCCCACGGAAAGACAACAGTTGTTCGTGCAATTTCCACAGTGCACACCATTAGACACAAAAATGAGTTGATCAGGAACATCACAATAAAGCTGGGATATGCTAATGCTAAGATATACAAATGCAATAGTGAAGCATGCATACGCCCTGCTTGTTATCGGTCATTCGGAAGTGCGACAGATGATTCCCTTCCCTGTCCTAGACCGGGATGTGATGGAACACTAACATTGCTGAGGTAATTTGTTTATCTGTCCTCGCAACCACTAATGTTTTCCGGTAAATGCTGTTCATTTTTTCCAGAGCATCCATAATTAGATCGCGCTTATTCTTCGGTCCATAACATTTATTTTGTCGCTACTTTTATTAAGAGCACAATGTGGTGGTGCTGAGTTCTCCTGATTTTTCAAATGTCGTGAAAATGCTTTAAACATAGGATTTTGTTTACTCAGTCACTTGATATGAAACAATCAGCTTAACATGTTAATAACAAGGAACCTAGTCAACACTTGCTCTACCTCCCTTTCATTCTGCAATGCCTTATTCTCTACCATCCTAGTTGTTTTCACATGTCCCGGAAATCACCGTGATTTAAGTTTCCCTTCTTGGTAAACATGTTGGGATGGTAGCAATTGAATTTATTACAATTTAGTAACCCCAAGCTCAGTCATGGGTGAAAGTCCATTGTTTTGTTATAAGAACTAACAAACGAGTCATGTTTTCCTGAAATTTAGATTTTCGACGTGATAGGTTGCATCACATCATATTGTTCAGGCTACCTATTAACGTCTTCAAATCAGCTTCTTTATGGTACAATAGAGTCCCGATCTTCATTTAAATTTTCCCACTTCACATAGGTCATCTCTGTTAGCAGTTTATTATTGTTTTCACTGTCTTGTGGACATTATTAACATGATGCTCAAACATCAGACCTAACAATTGGGTTTTAATTAACTTAAGGATGAGTAACCACGTTAATTTCGATTACCTATTACGTTTATCATTGTTTTGTGCTCATAATCTGCACATAAGCATTTTATTTCAGCTTATTAAAACCTATTTATCTGGCTGATTGTCTTTAATTTCTAGTCGATCATGAGGCTAAGTCAATAGTACAGTATCGTAACTAGCCGTCACTAGACCACAATATATCGTTAGGCTCATCTATCGATTTGCGTTTTATTAATTTATTTTAAGAACTAAAAACTGTCGAATCAAATCGCGAAAACCTCCATAATGAGTGTGTATGAGATTTTCTATTTAATAACTTCAATGTTTTTTTAACTAGGCATGTTTCGTTTGTGGATTGTCCAGGTCATGATATTTTAATGGCAACTATGTTAAACGGTGCTGCTGTTATGGATGCAGCATTATTGTTGATAGCCAGCAATGAGACATGCCCCCAGCCCCAAACAAGTGAGCATCTCGCTGCTGTAGAGATCATGCAGTTGAAATACATAATTATTCTTCAAAATAAGATTGACTTAATCAAGGAAAGTCAGGCTCGCGAACAATATTCACAGGTAGGTCTTGACAAACCAAGTAAAATTTCCCCATCCGATTTTGTATTGTCTTGTAGAATTATGATGTTTGCAATAACTTATGTGTATCAGGGGTCCCTTATTCTGTAAATTAGCTTATGTACTTTAGCGTGTGTCAGCATTTTGATCTCGAAAGTTAGGTGATTGATGTCTATCAGCCCTGATTAGTAGAAAAAATAACACACTAGAAAGTCAGGTTGTTTTGTATCGTCAACGTTAATAGCAGTTCGCGTTTTACTATTCTATTGTATGCTTTCGGGTTAAAATGTGTTCCAGATCGTGATATACCTCTTGCGGGGAGTGTTTGTCAAATACCTAAAAGTTCTGGGTAAAAATGAAGCCAATTACTGTTGTGATTGGAAAGTTCTCAGAGAATTTCGAAGTCATAGTTGTGTAAAAGTGTCGCGGATTCTTACTAGACGGTGTTTATGGTCCAAACCGTGCTGGTTATCTCGACTGAAAAGATGTACTTGTGTATTGATCACATTTATATTCTTTTTTAGATTTTACGTTTTATCCAGGGTACTGTTGCTCAAGGAGCTCCAGTTGTACCTATCTCAGCACAATTGAAGTATAATATTGATGTTGTTTGTGATTACATTGTGAATCACATTCCGGTTCCAGTACGGGATTTTACATCAGCACCTCGTTTGATTGGTGAGTTTTGTATATAACAAACAAGTTTAAGTGTACATTGAATCAGAGGTTATGGTTAGCTATATGGTTTCTGGTTTCTTTACTTGCAGTTATCCGGTCATTCGATGTGAACAAACCTGGTTGCGAAGTGGATGATCTGCAAGGTGGAGTAGCTGGAGGGAGCATTTTGCGAGGGGTTCTAAAGGTAGTTTATTATGATATATGCTTTTTCTATCCCAATCACTTATTTTCTGTTCTGGCTCTCTGCTTTACTTGTTAGGTAATGTATTCCATCAATTTTTTAGGTATCTCCGTATAGTCCCTAATTTTTGTTCAATTGTTTTATGTAACATTTTCCAACAGGTTGGGCAAAAAATAGAAATTAGACCAGGTCTCGTTTCGAAAGATTCAGAGACTGGAGGTGTTACCTGTAGACCCATTATTTCATGTATCGTGTCACTGTTCGCAGAGCAGAATGATCTTGCTTATGCTGTTCCGGGAGGTTTAATTGGAGTCGGGACGAAAATCGATCCACAGTTGTGTCGCGCTGATCGTTTGGTCGGACATGTTTTAGGACAGGTTGGTACCTTGCCTGAAATATATGTGGAGTTGGAAATATCGTTCTTTCTTCTACGACGTTTGTTAGGTGTTCGCACAGAAGGGGACCAAAAAGGTGCTAAGGCAAGTGATCTACCGTTCTATTTCACTCGTTTTTCTTATATCAAATTATTTATTTAAACATAAATATTGGTACAAAGGGGCACCACACAATAACAATGAGATGAAAAATTTAAGGTGCGCATAATAAAAAGGGGAACAATAATAAACACAAATTAGTGTGTAATAGTGAAATGGTAATAATGGGGGAAGCAGTTCAGTTAGCAAAGGAACAACCAGAAAGAATTCTTCCAGTTAAAGAAGTTACGTCTATTTTTTATGAAGAAATTAAAATAAACTTACAGCAGGATCGCCACTGGTTTCTTTTCTAAGCCATATCTGACAACGTCTCTAGCCACTGTGTTGCACCATCTCTCGGGCCCCAGCCAGGGAGTCGTGAAGGATCAACAGAAGCCAGTCCTGTACAGCTTTCATACCACAACACCATGTCATACACTGACCACCTCTTCGCTTTTTCCAACCAGTCCCAGAGTCGGCGAATAATGCACGACGTGGAATTCTCTGGAACGACATTCGTGGAACGTGTCCAAGGCACCGAAGTCGATGTTTCAAGAAAGTGACACCAATTGAATTATCGTCGCTGTGCCCGAACACACGATGCCGAACCTCTGCATTACTAACAGGGTTTTGCTGCTTGATGTCAGCAATCCTTCGGAGACAACAATGATCAAAAATAGAAAGTCGTCTAATATCCTCAATTCGAAGAGGCCAGGTTTCACAAACATAGAGCAAAACTGCTCTCACCGACGTGTTGTAGATTCGACCTTTTACAGCCAGACTAACATCACGAAGGCGCCAAAGATGGCCCAGATTGGCATAAGCCGCTCTGGCTTTCACTATACGTGGATTGGTCTCATCACTCACGCCACCACCAGCACTTATGCAGCTACTTGCCAGTCTTGTAGAAGTACTTAGCGCTTCGAAGGTGCAAAGCACTTACCATACCTACGGACACTAATTGCCAACTGATTAAGTGCGGATTGCATGGCTTGGGCATTATCGCACAGTGAGACAATATCATCCGCATACCCAGGGTCGAGAAGTCTTTCTCCAGGCAACAGGTCCACAACGCCATTACTTACGTCCATCAGGGCTGTTTCCAGAATGTCATCGATGGCAAAGTTGAAGAGAAATAGTGGGATTGAGAAACCCTGTCTAACTTCATTGTTTGAATGGAACAATGGAGAAAGGTGGTTGTATGACCTCAATCTGCCTGAGGTGTTTGTATATAGGGCTTTTAGGATGTTGATAAACTTCTCAGGCAAACCCTTCTTCAATAGACAATCCCAGAGAACAGTCCTGTCCGATGAACCGAAGGCAGCCCTGATAATAATAAATACTATGACGTTTGGCTTGTAATAAATATGGCGATGTAATAGCATTTGACAGAAGGTTAAAATATGATCAATACATCACTGACCAGAACGAAGACCAGCCTGGTCCTCGCGAGTCAATCTTTCTCGGGTTTTGAACAGTCTACGATGTATTATGAAAGCCAATATTTTGAACGCTATTGGAAGTAGACTTATCTGATAGTTGATACAGAAACGACGTCAATCCTTTTTAAAGATAGGAACAATTATCGACTCATTCCACGATGTTGGAACACATCTTAACTCCCAAACCTTTGTAAACAACGCTGTTGAATCATCTGGGCCCGGGGATTTGTAGCACTTAAAGAGTTAGAGTTCCTGGCGGACTTCCGCCTCATTTAATGGATCGGTCGTGACAGACCATAGAAGGCAGGACAGTCTGATCGATGTTGCCAGGGCAGCAAACCAGTTGAACTGCTCTTCGAAGAACTCTGTCCATCGTCCAAGACGTCGATAGATGTTAGTGGTTGGCATCCCGTCGTTTTCACATATTGTTTCGCTCACACCAGACTTGTTGCTGCCAGTGGCTCGGATGAGTTGAAAGGGCTTCCGGCAGTTACCAGCTGCAGCTGCTGCTTCCAACTCATTTGCATGCTCTGACCACCAGGCTTCTCGGTCCTAACGCAAGTCTTGTCCGAATTCGTTGCGTAACAGTCGTCGTTTATGGTCAAACTCACGTCACCTGGAGTAAACCGGCGGGTGGTTTTCTTAGGGGGCCACTCCCGAAGCCTTCGACCTAAAGGTCTATTCCACAAGGCGATGGAGCAACGTAAGGAGATGCAGTCACATGGTAGCCGGTGACCACCAATTGGTTCATATGTCATTTGTCCCCTCAGAGTACTGGAGCCCATGTGCGCCATTGATTTCGAATCAGGGTTCATCAACCGGGTTAAAGCGCCGGACATCCGCTTTCCATCTTCTTAATTTCGTAAACAACAGTAATGATGTGGGAAGGCAGTGAGTCGGACTTCCCCGGAAGTGGTTTTTTGCATGTGGCCATGTGAGAGTATTTAGAGAGCGAGAGTGGACTCTCCACACTCATTGCCGTACCATGGCATTTGGGGGCTATCAAATAAAGCGTCTAAAAGTTTTACGACTTGGAAACAATTTCTATCATTAACCAACGAACTGTTTAAAACTAAGTATTACCAAGCCGTTTTGTCTTTGTTTGGGTCTGTGACCCTTGATTTTATATACAATAAAACCTGTTAATACAATACTACCACAAATTCACCGCGCAGAATGGAAAAAATTGTAACAGTCATATAAGTGACCAATAAATGGGCGAGATTAATGTTAAGTTTTTGAAAAAAGACTAAGGTAGGTTTTGTTTAGTTAAGTAGATGCATAGTTTATGTAAAACTCGATAAAAGTCTATAACAGAATCATCACTTGGTTCTATTAAGAATCATATCTGATGACATGTGAACCTATTCAGTTAGACGTTCTCTGGAACTCTACCCAAGATGTAATAGGCTAGCCGCTTTAATCGTATATATTTATCTGTCACTTCACAACTCTGTTTCATAAGCTGACCACGTATTCGCTCTCCACCTTGTTCTAGGATTGGCAATAAATACACAGTACGGATGTCACTAGGACGGCACTTACATCTAGACAATCTTTCTGGGATAACGGTTGTCAAAAACAAAAGCTGTTGGAATGACCTGTGTATTATCGCGGAGTAAAACAATATGTATATTCAGAGTTTATAAGTCCTCATTTAGGTAACAGATCTTCCACGTTACACTACCCTCCGAAGATTTGGCGACCTCGTTCAACTCCACTGTTGGATTAGAATTGAGTGAGCTTTGTACTAAACTCTCGATATGTGAATAAACCCATTGTCTTCGACACGCACTTCTAAAGGATAGTCCTTTTCAATTGGTCGATGACGATCGTGGTATGAAAATATTATATTTGTAGATTGTCAAGTCAAATTTCAACGTCCTTATTGACTTACTGTAACACTCCCAACTAATAATGTCAGTGTACATCATTATTCACTCAACAGTCAGTCAGTCAGCTACAACGTAGGATCAGGCACATATATCCATCGGTCCAAGTTGCCATACCTCATTAGCACAACAAGATGAACACCGAATTCTTATAAGTAATTAATTCAATGGTGGTAATATATTAAAGAAAGATTATATATAAGGATATAGTACAGGAAGAAAGAACGTTATGAGGCAATTTTAATCTCAAGGTTTAAGGGAAGATGAAGAGTGTACACCTGCGCCATTGTGATAGATTCTGAGCCATGTCACCCAGAGTATCCAACCAATGGTTACGATAGTCACGTGGATCCCAACCAAGTAGTCTGCATCTACCAACATGGTTTAGTCTAAAAGTTAGTGACTTCAAGCACTGATGCCATGTTGTGGTTTGGCCGCCCCTAACTCTTTTCCAACCATCGCCAATACTAGTCAGCATAGCGCGTCGTAGCAACTTGTGTTCAGGCATACGTAACACGTGGCCTAAGCATCTCAGTCGATGAAGATTCATGACCTCATCAACTGATTTACCACCATTCCCTAATACCCCGTGTTTAACCTCACTATTACTTAACTGGTGATCCCAGCAGATGCGAGCAATATTTCTAAGGCATCTGTAGTCAAATACTAGTAACCTACGAGTATCTTCTACTCTCAATGTCCATGTTTCATAGTCGTAAAGTAGAACAGCGCGAACTGCTGCACAGTATACTCGTCCCTTAATTGATAGACGGATATCTCGTCTTCGCCATAGGTGATAAGTTGTCAAAAGCCAGAGCTTTTTGAATTTGTGCTGAGATTTCGTCAGACACCAGCTCATTAGGGCTGATCAGACTTCCAAGATAAGTGAAGTTTTCGACGCGTTCGACTACTTCACTCCCTATCCTTATTTCAATGTTGACTACCATTTGATTTTGGTTGACTAATAGATATTGTACCACACGTTTGTCCTTACTGCCTTATAGAAGGTTTCTCATTACGGCATGGTATCTATAACTTTTGTCTTCTTTAGACTTACTTTCCTCTTTTGTTTTGCAAAATACTAAGTTCGGTGCTACCAAATCCTAACTTTCTCAGCATACATTTCATCTTCTAACGTAATAATAAAAAAATCTGTTTACATTTGATATTAATTTGTCCCGACTTTTAGCACTAGTAATAGTTTTATGAGCTTTTGGTTGGTAACATAAAATGCTGCCAAAAGAATAATACATTGCTTCCTATTTTATTGTCTCCCACAGGTTCAAAAGCTTTCTAAAAATGAAGTTTTGATGGTGAATATCGGGTCTCTTTCTAGTGGTGGATGTGTTATAGCTGTTAAAGGTGATCTAGCTAAAATACGACTAAATAGTCCTGTCTGTACTCAGGTTGATGAAAAAATCGCACTAAGCAGGCGTGTTGAAAGACATTGGCGGTAAGTTGGACAATTTTTCATTCCAGTTAGTTTTAAATAGTTTTACTGACATACGTATCATCGTACCCATCGGTTTCTTTTTCTTTGTAGTTTGATAGGATGGGGAGAAATTCGACGTGGTGTCACAATCCAACCTGTCCAGTGAATATCAACAAACTTCATTTTGCATATGAAGATGGAGATCTATACCTGTATACGCTGATTATTATCTTTTGTTGCCTTGTGTAATTTAGGTTATTGTCAAAACAAATGTTTCTTAACTTGGACTTAGTTGTTATTTTTCCTAGAAATCACGATTGCCTAGGTGCGACTATTTGTTAATGGATTATCAATACCTTTTTGTTATAGCAAATAAGAAATTTATCGCAGGCAACTAACATTGCCTTAATATCATTCTTTAATCATGCTTAAGTATTATCCATGTGCTTATAAAATAGTTTTTCCGGTCACTTTGACATTTACTTACCAGTCATACTGCTTATTTGGGTCAAATTAAATTTTGGACCACCAGTCAATATCCTAGATCCTTCCAAGGTGGTTTTCATAAGAGTCAAAGAGAAGTATGTAAGAGCTGTTCGTAAGCACCTCATTGGTTTTCAGTGTTTAAGCAACAGTGATTGTGAAGTATCATACAAAGATGTTCTGAAACTTCTACCTGCTAAACTGTATAAGACAGCGGGGGCTGGCTATTTACAAAAACATGTATCCGAAAGTGGTTTTTGAAGTTTATCAGTGGTTTCCCAAAAATACACCTGTGTCCAACTAATAGTATATCTAGGACCAGTTGAATAATGATTAAGGGAAGAACAATGATCGTATCAATATATGAATCCCTTCGAGTTCCCTTCAACACTGATTGAACATTATTCATTTGAAAGCGGTTTGCATACTTTACTTCATAATACCAGGTGACGTGTCATCAATGAAGGGGAAGATAATTATGGAAAAATTACAAGAGTTGTTTATGTGGTTAAATATTTGTATCCTTAATACTGTGGATATTCTAGATTTTCAAAGGCATGGAAACTGGTTGCTAGGACATTGATGTTAAGATTTATGCATTAACAGTTATAAAGATGGGTCCATTGTGAAACCGAAATGAGGGATTATAAGAGTATGAATAAAGAGTGACGTATAATTATGAACACAAAGTTATGGATCATGCAGATAAACATTGTAAATTGAGATCACTAGGGTGGTACGAGACTGACTGCAGTGTGATTTCCGATGATACCGCCTTAAGTCTTCGATGGGAATACTTTTGACAAAGAATAAGTATGCGACCATTTGATTATATTAATGGTCCGGGATGACTTTAATATCTTAACATCGTCTCCACAATAAAGTAGATGACGGACGATCGTGGTTCTTTAGTCTCAGCCTCTGAGGAATGTGCTTGTCAACTTAACAATAACTCCTATTTCTAGCTTAAGTGCTTGGGTGCGCACTTGTAGACTGATAAATATTAATAGGAATGCCAAAGTATGGTTTCGTATAAAATAACGATTTGTTAACAAAATAGTGTTGTCATTAAAATATATGTGCCTTACCTAACCATGAAGCGATTGAGTACGACAGTGATCCGGTGTTTTCTGTTCCCGCCATTTTTATCCCCATGCTAGTGGACACTGCACTAACCTGTGTACAATAGGTGGTATATATGTTTAGGAAGCAAAGATCCTTGAGGCACATTTCCAAACATGTTTGAGACAAAAGTTCAGAATTTAACATGGGATTTTCGATTGGTCTTTTAGTGTGGGACTGTAATACGACTGCTTAAAGTTGTAATTGTCAGGTAGCACGTAAACTCTTCCATGGTTCTGTGGGAATTCTTATTTGACTGTGACAATTTTCGTCATGAACTGACTTCAAATCCTATCGTGAAATAGAGTACAACAGAAATGTGGCTCGTTCAATTTAGGAGATCCTCATTAGTGAATGTACGGCGACTTCGGTAGGTATCGAACTTGAGACCTTTGATCCTGTCTGTCTAGTGGTTTTTGATTGTTCATCCGCTAAAGTCAGTGTGAGAAAAACGTAATATAGTCTCGGTCAAATGGAACAAGTTATTTAAATAATGATTAAACTATTACAGCTAGTTTCACAAAACAGCAATTTGGGTATCGTATTAACAATACTTCTTTTACTAATGTCTGCAGAATGACGTTTTTCAACCAGTGTTGTCCCATGGTATTTTCATTTCGTGTTTTAGTCTCCTCTTCAGTTATGCATATGTAGTTGTCATGATAACTATGACAAGATATACAAATATAGACCAGTGTTGTGAGTATTGGGATATTTTAAATATGGGTTTGTATTCTATTGTATATACAATGCAAATATAAGTAATTTTGACATGTCGAATTATGGCAATAAATATTGCTCCTCTAATTTTGATTTTCCAACTGAAGGTCAAGTTTTTATCATGGTATAAAAAAAATAATTAGGGTGGAAGTTCCATACAATGATCAAAACTCTGGGCACTAAGATTTTTGAACCGCATATGAGGCACTGATCCAAGTGTTGTTCGTATTTGCTACGAAGTTCATACCGATGGTCAAACTGTTAGGTTTTACCTTATACTACTTACTTGTTTGTAAGTAGTGTGGCTCCATACGAGGATGGTAAAATCGAGTAAAGGAATCAACCAATTGATAACCTTCAACACATAATATTGAATGGAATAACTGAGGTAGAGACTGAGATTATATTAGAGATACTTTTAAAATATATATGTTTTATTTCTCTAAAAGTTATGTAACTTTTCAAAATTTTAGTGAATTTACGGAATACCTTGTTGTCAATTGATAATCACCAGCGTCGATTTCTTTTTTGATCGGAGATTTTCTTACGAAATTCTCTCACGATTTATTGACTTGAAGGAAATAGTTTTTGCAAAGTTTTGTTGTTATGTATTCTACGTGAGTACGGGTATATCTTTAAATACTGAAGGATAGGTTTGAAGAATAAAATGGTTTTGATTTTTTCTCGCTACATATGTATTTGTATTGTTTATCAGCTCCTTAAGAAATCTCATTGGTCTATATTCATAACACCAGTAATTTGCTATTCTAAATTTTCAATTGAGATTCATATTGTCTGTCTTAACAATTTACTTAAGATATAAAGTTTACACTCCAGAACTACAGCACTAGTATCGATTTAATTTAAATACATATAATACATACGTATATAGTTTCCTAGAGCTTCGTAAAAGTCTAGGTGTATCCGGAATCTTTCAAGTAATTCTTGATTGTTCACCACAGATTTTAAAGTTAATAATTGTTAAAAAGGTACACAATATCAGGTTGTCTGTTGAAAATAACTATCCCATACACAGTACGAAGACAAGTTTTTATTTAATTTTCAACACGTACAGGTATGGAAATAAATATGCGCCATATAGATAAGAAAACGAAATTGTCAAGAGAGGAGGAGGGAGGTTATAACCATAAACAAAAAGATAAGTGGACATGATTAATATATAGTGAGAAATAATCCGGTTAAGATGAAACAAAAATGATTCCTTCAGTTAAGAGCGATCCTATGATCTTGATAATGAATTTAAAAGGAGATCACGTGGAGTCACCACTGGTTTTATAATCTTAGGCATATGTGATACCGTCTCAAGCCGCTGGGTTGCGCCAATTCTCGATTCTGGCAGATTGGATTATTGTAAAACACACTCGAACCTCAGCACGAGCAACATGGTGTTGTCACTGAATGTCAGGAATCCTTCGAAGATATCGATGATGGAGCAGAGTCGCCTGAATTCCTCAACTTAGGGAGGCCGGGTTTCACAATCATAGAGCAAAACTGACCCCAGTGACGCCTTATAAACCCGACGTTTAGAACCAGGCTAACGTTACGACGAGGCGAAAAATAGCCCATCTTGGCATAGGTCTCCGTGATTTTCACTACACGCAAGTAAGATCACATTAGCCACGCCACCCCCTAAAACTACGCTTTCACAATGCGTAGATTGACCACCAGCACTTAAATGACTACCCAGATACACGAAATTCTCGACAACTTCTAATGCTCACTATCAAGAGCGAGTACAGTTTCAGGTTCCTGTCAGTCTTGCAAAGTATTTTGCACTTGGAAGTTGTAAAGCACATGCCATACCTACGGACACTGATTGAGTGCGAATCGCATGACTTGAGTATCCTTGCACAGTAAAACAATGTCGTCCAGATACTCAAACTCGAAAAGTCTTCGTTAAGGTAACAGCTCCTCACAACCATTAAATACTTCCGTAATTTGTTACCAGAATGTTATTGATGGCAAAGATTACTAGAAATTGTGAGACCGGGCAACTTCGCTTGACCCTACGGCCTGTATGAAACAATGAATAGAGGTTGTTTTATCCCCTCATTTTGCATTAGTTGCTTACATATAGAGCATTCAGGACATTAGCAAGCTTGTCAAACACACTTCTTCAGCGGACGATCCTAGAGAACAGTGCTGTCCAACGAAACAAAGATTGGCCTGATATCAAGAAACAACGATTATTGACCTGCAATAAGTATGGAGTTGTTCTGACAATAGGCATAATAGGAGTAAAGACTTCATCGATTTATCTCCAGTCAGAAAGAGAACAATCCTGGTCTTCTAAAGCCAATGTCTCCAGAGTTTTGAACAATCTGAAAAGTATGACGAGAGTCAACAATTTGGATGCAATCGAGTGTAGATGCATCACTCGATATTTGTTGGATAGATGACATAAACCCTATCAACCAATTCCAAAATGTTGAAACACTATCTAATTTCCAAACAACCTAGTTACTCCCCTGACAAGAAGATTGCCAACATCTCTGAAAGCGCAAGGAGCTAAGTTGTCTGAAGCAACCAGTGAATTCCACAATGAGTTAGTTGAACTTTCCGTCGAAGACGTTATTTGGGATTGATGATTTTTGGCGCTCTAGGAGTTTCAGTTCCTTGAGGACTTCCGCCTTCTTAGATGGACAAGTCGCCATCGGCCATGATTGACAGGATAGTTTGATCGATCTCTTCAGGGTAGCTGAACTGTTCCCGAAGAACTCTGTTCATCATCAAAGTCGGTGGATATCAGTGATTAGTATCTCGAGAGATTCACAGATGGATTCGCTAACACCAGACCTCCTTCTGCCAGCGGCTCGCATGAGTTGAAAGAACTTCCGGCAGTTACCAGATCCAGCTACTACTTACAACTTGTCATCACGCTCTGACCACCAGGCTTTTCGCTCCTTACGAAAACTTTGCACAATTTTTCCACTCAAGAATC